TCAAGGGATGGATTATTCGTCCGTCCATAATCAAGCGCAAGACGTCGTATCTTGAACTAGCGCAAAGTCAGTAACGAATGAAACCAATAGGATTGAAATATTATTCTCAACGCATGATTACTTTGGGTATGGGCTACAGTCAATGTATTCACGATCACTATTAGCGTCGTCCGATGCATACTGTGTACATGACGTATTGGTTCCAGCTGGCGCCCAGTGACAACTGATTGAAAGGAATGACTGTATTGACGACGACCGTTTGAAGTGTGGTCGGCGTGGATGATGCCAGTGGAAACGTTAACATCAGTCATGCTGGAATAGGTGAAGTAAAGGAATAACTGTGCAGTGAGGCAAAACCTTCGTTGACCTTACTGTGCACGGTCCCGGTCCATGACTGTAAGCGTCCCTAATCGGTAATGTTTCCCTTCCACAAAACTGAATCCGGGCAGATAACACCTACTGACTTTGGTTTCCAAGATTCCACGCCCGGTTGCATTTCCTTTCCCAACACCCTGAGCTGGGATAGCCAAAAAGACAGGCAAACCACTAACATACGGGGCACAGAGTGCAGGCAGCGAAATCTACCAGCACATTCATGGTGTACAAGTGCTACCTAAAAGTAATTCGACATGCTTTTGAAGTAATAGACTGCCATTCGTATCAAATACGGCCAAAGATCTCACTATACGACCATAGTAACTAGGTCTCTGAAACGCCAAACAAACTCTACCCCTAAGTAGGACTATGTGAATTCAACGCTAAACATACCGTAGTGAGACTTTGCCGATTCGAAGTGAAACTTTCCTCCAGCTGAACCACAGAGGTAAAACTACCCACTCAATAGATAACTCCCAGTGATATTGGTCAAATCCTCCGCTAATCCCAATCTCTGGGCATGCAAGCAGCTCAAATCATAATGGTTTATAAGGGGTTAACGCCCAAAGTAGCATTTCCCCTGTAGAAAGCTTTGCTCACACAAGTGAGTAAGACATGCAAATGTGGATATCGTACCCCAAGTAAATTTCTAGAAAATCCATTCCCAAAAGATAAGGAGAAGATTGACAAGAATTACCTTATTCATAAAACAGCAATCTACTGAAAAGCTATGATTTACATCCAACCTATGCACTTTGAACACTGTACTCAAAATGGACCGTTCCCATAGATAAGGTATTTTTGTTTTGAAAGAAACATCGCCTCTTTGAATAATTTAGAGCCCAATCGGATTCAAGTGGGTCGCTCGCTCTGTTAAAAGTGCAAATATGGGTTGCCATAGAGGGTCTGACAGAAGTAGCTTTGGTTCATCTTTTTGTAAGGAACATAAAATTCACTTTGGTGCTCGAAACTTCCTCAGTGCCACTGAGGTGAAGTATGCCAAGGCAAACCACTGAAATCAGAACCAATCACTCCAAAAAACCGTGAACACAGTGGTGACGAAGTTCCCGTGGTCGAACGAGAACGAACGGCTTTGCGGTAAAATATATCCAGATGTTTCTTACAGAACGCTTATTGATATACAGCGAACTGTGATTTCTGAAAACTTAACGAATTCCTGCAGCTCCTGGAGAACAGCTGATTCTTCTCGCACACATCGGTCACTTGAATTCGAGTGCATTTCCGATGGCGGTGTGAGAGACGCGACTTCATTAATTGCAAGCAACATAGCATCAAGTGAAGCGACGCTGTGAAAGCATCTAGTCCGCCGACCTCTGTCGTGGACCACTGAAATGACCTCACTAGCGTCTCGCATATAACCAGCAAACAACATCAGTTTTTTAGAGTTGGGAACATCCAAACGTTACAAGTCGAACAGGAGCACGAAAAAGCAAAAGCGAAAGACTATAACTGCGCTTCACACACTGTAGCTGAATTCAAAACATCCCAAGCATCTCTGTAAACATAGTTAAACGAAGAACTTCTCCTCCGAAGAAACGGAAATAAGGTACAGCCTCATCAAAGTTTTGTATTTCGTACTACAATCAGGCAACAAAGCATGCGGTCTAAACTGAGTGAAGCTGTCATCGCGCTTCACGGGTGAAATCCCTTGATTTCATCCATCCGTTGTCATTTACCCGTAGGCATCCTTCAAGTTCTTTACGACCACTGGAACAGATATTAAAGGTTCACTCTCGGAAGATATCCTCGACAATTGCTCGAATTGCAAAGACATGGCACGCTGGAACTGGATACCTGATCAACCGGCACGCAGTCGGCGTAATTGTAGGTAAGTTCTGTTCCACAAGGTATTGATCTGTTGGCAAACATGCACACATACGGGATAACGCTATCAACATGCACGGGAACGAGCGTTAGATTAGGATCACATGAGTGATTTACCAAACGCGCAACAGGTGGGGACCCATTGGGACCGAACGAGTTACCATCCACACATACTTCAGATACTAAAGAGGCCCCAGCAAAGCATCGTAAGATCAGTACATAATTGTGCCCGTATTTTTCCAGTTGTTTTGCTTCTCGTCTACAAGCTTCTGTGTACGGGATAACTTCGCCCAAATACACACATACCAACTCGCCTGGCTCAAAGTTTCGAGCAGCATTCAGGCACTGACCAACACCACACCTCTCAGTGATGCGATAGATCATGTGACCTGCAGATTGTACAGCGGACAGGTGACGTTGTACCACACGATTTGAGCAGCTTGAACTGCACGTACAGGCCGAATTGCACTCGAACACTGGATGCCGAAAGTCAAGTAGACGACCATCCTTTGTATAACTTTCACCAGATCGAGATCGACAAGTACACTTATCTTGACATTCATCGGCTGCACAGCTACATCCCATGAGTTGGTCGGTAATGAGACTCCATGGGATATTATGATGAAATATCAAAGACATGAAGTCCGGTTTCCTGAAAATACAACAGAAGCACATTATAGGTATTTTATACAGGAAGTAAGGCTTATCGGATGCCTACAGAACGGGTTGGGAAAGACCACGCCTAAGACACTAACGATGGCGAATGCATTGTAAGGCAGTGAAGCATCAGTGCCAACACTGATGTTGCTGTCTTTGATGATGAAGGCCAAAAATGAACACTTCCGTTTCGAATGTTTTACATCTCCGAGTGTAGGTTCCGAAAAACAAACGATTCGATCACCTAGAAGCATGTAATTTCTGCTTGGACTCCGTATGAAAAATATGGTGGCCAAGTTCCTTTACGGGCGAACGTTTGACAAGTAAATGTTTTCTGAACAGACTGTGTAACCCAGAAAACGGGTTGTATAGGCCTATCAGCCTTCCAAAACCAGTCCACTGTATCAACCCGGTGAACAGAGCCATAAACTGAATGACCGAATGCACAGTTTCAACCGACTGGCTCACTCAGATCGCCCCTCATTCGTGTCCCAGCGTAAAAGCAAACTTATTTCAAATGAGCGAGGGAGCGTGTGACTGGCAGTTGATGAAAAGTTTGGGTGTTGTTGGTGCAGTCCAAACTCCTTCGCAAGCAGGCTGCTTGGGATCGTACTGATTAGACCAAATTATAATAATATGTGTCGCACGATACATCAAACCGAGTGGAACACCAAACCAAGGGCCAGTATGGGATTTACGAAACCACCAGAAGTGTTAACAACTTGGACCCAACTCCAAGCCTTGTTATGATAACAAGAACAGCTCGAAAAAGCTAAATTGAGGATTGTTACCGGTGGTTACTTCTGTCGTTTCCAAAGATGCCATCACAAAACCAATCACTGAGCGCAATTTCAACATTCAGGATAGGCGAACTTTTGAAAGTTGGTTCAAAAAATACGAAAATATTCCTCAAATCGACTTTGTGTAGTAGCAGATTTTAGAGTGAAGCACAAAGGTTTTCCATTCCCTCTTTGCTGAATCGATTCCAAAATTCAAACCTCCCAACGTGATGCGGTGGTGTACTCAGGTCACAATGGACTAGCGGGACCCTGGTGTCAACGAATTTTTTCATTGTTACAGTGGTGAGATGCTATTGCTTTTTTCCTTCAGTTACATAACAACGGACAGAAGCCTGCTTCACGTACAACCACCGAATGGATGCAACAACGTCCTTGGTAAATTCGTCTTGTTTGCCAACTAGAGAGGCATGTACATCGTCCCTTAATTGTTCAGGGTAAGAGGAGATTCTGTGAGTGCTGCATCGTAAAAAAATTTCAAGCAGAATTGTAATGCTCTGTCAATCGCTTAGTAAATGTAAACCCAGAATGCCCATGATGCAGTATACGTGAACAAAAGGGTTTCATGAAATACGTAAATACGAAACTCGACAAGCGTTGGAGTCGGGGTGGTTTGTTCCAAAAACGCTTAAAGCACCTAGGCTTGGGCAACCTGGCAGTATCTCAGCATTTGCGCTTCCTTCAGGTGACATGGCAGCTAGGCACCGGAAGGGTGTTACAGTTGGACGATTTTTCTGAGGGTAGAGTGATTCGGGTACACCATCTAATGGAAGCAGCAGTGCTTGTGACTTCAAATGCTTACGCAATCTTCCAGATTGCTACATGAATAAAAGGCTTTAGGGAAGCCGGTCTGAGTGTAAAACTGCAGTACCACTTGTCATTCATCCTAGTCGGTAGCAAATACCCAGATCATCATCAGCAGCAGCAGCTGTAATAACCGCGTACTTGTCATACAGTGGTTATAGCTGCCACAGTCTCGTCCACCAATGATTCGGAGAGGGTAGGTAGCTGCTCATTTAAGGTGGGACTGATAAATTGGTACGCAAATACAGGACTGTTAAATGGGGGATTGGGAAGGGAGCTATGCATTCAAAGCAATGGCTTGGATGCACGAGCGCCATTGGGGGTGCGACTGGGCCATACCTGACAGTGTCTCTAACCATTGATGTAGCCCGTCTCGGGGTACCCATGCAGGAAGACGGCAGTGACAAGGGCTGTTGAGTTTGCTGATAATGGCTTTTATACTTTGCTGTCAAGTTATTGTTTAACCTCTCCTGGCTCGTTTTCACCCATCACGTGGTCGTGCGAAAAGAACCCTACGAGGGATTCGACTGGCATACGGAGCACGTGGCCAAGCCAGCGCAACTCGTGGAGAGTGATCAGGTCATCTAGCATGGGCGAGTTATTTCTTCCGAAAACTATTCGACGAACTTTAGCACTACTGATCCGGCGTTGCCACAAGACTCGGGCAATGCTCCGAAAACATTGATGGTCAAACAGAGAGTCTTTTGACGTCCTCGGCGCGCATCGGTCACGTTTCTGATCCATATAGTAATATGGAGCGCACTGCAACATTGTTAACTTGACCCTTGACGGTTAAGCTGATGTCACGCCTTAGCCACGGGTGACGCAGGTCCACAAAAGCTGCTCAGGCCTTTCTTATCCG